GTCCAGTCTCTTCTTAAAAACTTCCAGTGTTGGAGCATTCACCGCTTCTGGAGGCAGGTTGTTCCACTGGTTAATTGTTCTAACTGTCAGGAAGTTTCTCCTTAGTTCTAGGTTGCTTCTCTCCTTGGTTAGTTTCCATCCGTTGCTTCTTGTCCTGCCTTCAGGGGCTTTGGAGAATAGCTTGACTCCCTCTTCTTTGTGGCAACCCCTGGGATATTGGAAGACTGCTATCATGTCCCCCCTCGTCCTTCTCTTCATTAAACTAGACATACCCAATTCCAGCAGCCGTTCCTTATATTTCTCAGCTTTGATAACTTTAAAATGTGTGGATAAAATGTGTGGATAAAATGTGTGCTGTGCTGGCTGGGGAATTCTGGGTGTTGAAGTCTTCGTATCTTAAAATCCCCATGGCTGAGAAACACTGCTGTAAAGCATGTTTTGCAACACAATTCAAACGAATTTACTCAAATGTCCTATTTGTATCAGCGGGACTGACTTTTTGAAAGCATACTTAGGACTGTAATGTTTCTTGCAGATGAAATCAGCTGCAGTTGCATACCCCAGGAGCAAGGCAGCATTTCAAATAGCATGCCAGCAAGTCGAATACTTCACATTATAAATAATCTGTACTCCAAATAGCAATAAACATTATTATTCTCAAACTTTGTTCTCCCCTCCATCGGTTTACCTGACTGAGTATTTTCATTCCGGAATGTAGGAGCTTTTTTGCAGCCTTGTAATAAATAGTCTCCGGCTTATTATAGACCATAGCATTGGTACACATCAGTCTGAAATTGTCCTGTATAAATAGAAAAATCAAGGCACATGAGGCACACAGCTTTGGAAATATTGCCTGGAAAATTCACGTCAAGCTAATAGAAAGAAAGCATTGTTTGGACAAATTAAACAAAGTAAATCTCCTGACAGCACAGTCTTACGACTGTTTATTTACTGACCATTCCAAGTTACAACAGCACTAAAAAAATGTTTTGTGTTGACTGTTTTTCACACTTATGACCGCTGAAACATCCCCAGGGTCACGTGATCCAAATTTGGACACCGGGCAACTGACTCATATTTACGACGCTTGCAGTGTCCCCAGGGGTCACGTGATCCCTTTTTGCAATCCTTTTATTTTCAACTCCTTCTTACAGCAGGCAAGAAAATGTGTGAAAAGGAAGGATTTATCCAGAGGGTGCTGGACAGCTGCTCCCTCCACGTTGCCTTCAAGCTTGAATGACAGGCCCAACCTTTGGGTGGGATTTAAGACTTTTCTCTTTCGACATCCGCTTGCGAAATGTTGGGTGAGCAGCTGATGAGTTTCTGAGATGACAGAGCCGATGTGATGCCAGCAGTGCTTGTGACAGACCTCTGATTTTTACACTTTGGTATTAATGCACCGATAAAGGCGGCGTTCGTCGCAGACAGTTCTCCCCAGAGATCACAGAGTTGTTTTGTCAGGCTGGGTGCATTAATGCACCACCACAACAGACTTGCATTTCTCTTTAATGTGTACAAATAGAAGGGTGGCGGGGAGACAGGCATTTTAACCAGCCGTGCTCAGAAAGAGGCAAGAGGCAAGTTTAACACACACGCGTTTGCCATTGTTCCAGTAAAGCTACTATTTATTCAAAAAAAGCCGTAATGGCAATGCAAAAGGAAAAAATAAGACACTTAGTGCTCGTTATGTGCAACGATTTCCCAATCTTTCTCCTCCTCTTAAGAAAAAGACAAAAGTCAAATATTTTTTTCTCTTCCTATTATTCAGAGTGGATAATTTCTATTTGAAATTTCAACCGCTTAATCCTTTAGCACAGTGGTTCTCAACCTGTGGGTCGGGACCCCATTTGGGGTCGATCGACCATTTCACGGGGGTCGCCAAGCAAGGCTGTCCGCCTTTTTTTTGTCCGCCATTTTTTTCCCCTTTTCCGGCGGGTGCCTTACCTCCCTTGGGCTGGGCCAGCTGGTGGTCGGCCTGCTCCATCTCTGCCACTTGCCAGCTACGCCTCAGGGGGAGGAACCACGCATGCGCGGCGCTCCCGGGCAGGGAAAGTCCTCGACTTACGACCGGTTGGGTAGTCCTTGACTTACGACCGGTTTAGTCCTTGACTTACGACCGGTTTAGTCCTTGACTTACGACCGGTTGGGGTCGCGGCATTAAAAAGGTTGAGAACCATTGCTTTAGCATATCGCAGAAGAGCGACTGGGGACAGTCAATGAACTTTTACAGTTATTATGTAATTATTACTGATCTATGAATGAGACAAACATACAAAAAAGGTTCTGCTTAAGTCTACATAAAACCTCAGCCATCTTGTTTTACTTTACCCCAAGCTCTAATACAGGGAGTCCTCGGCTTATGATCACCACTGACCCCGAAATTTCTGTTGCTAAGTGAGTCATTTGCTAAGTGGGTTTTGACCCATTGTACGGCCTTTCTTGCCACAGTTCTTAAGTGAATCACTGCAGGTGTTCAGTTAGTAACCACAGTTAAACGACTCCGGCTTCCCCATTTGGCTTCGCTTATCAGACGGTCACAAAAGGAGATCACACGAATTTTGATCACGTGACCACGGGGATGCTGCAGCCGTCGTAAGTGTGGAAAAAACCAGTCAGTGCCATTGTAACTTTGAACGATCACCAAACGAACTGCCATAAGTCGGGGACTACCTTAAAACCAGGTTTCGGCTTTTCAATTTTTCTCCTCCTGCAACCATCCGTCCCAATTCTAACCTCTTGCAAATTGTTCTTTCAAAAGCACTACTGAAGAAATCCACAAAGCCTTTCGCCAAGCAAAGAAAAGGAAAAAAAATTCTTAAAACGATTCTTTGCTCATAAACTATGGAAGTTCACTCTCCGAGTGAAAGGCATGTTTTGACAAACTCTGCCCATCATCACCGCTGCGACAGCCGGCAAGTGTTGACATTTAATCCTCTCTCTGCAGCTAGGATATAAATTATAAGCACCTTTAGCTCTTCAATGGATTGGTAACCGTTATTCTTTATCTTCTCTTTCATAGTACTAAAATCCATTGGGCGTTTAATGATCATGGAGTAACCAGGAGCGATGAAGTCCGTCACAGGAAATGAAAAGAAAGCGTTGGGATCCTTTCTGTTAAGAAATGAAAAGAACAGCGTTTCATGTTTCGTTTCTATAACAAAGAACAGAGGTTACTATTAAAAAAGGAGACATGACTACATCTTAAAAGAAAGTAGAAAAACTAAGATGAAACTAGAAGCAGATCTGGCCTTATGCCAACTTTCTTTCTTTCTTTCTTTCTTTCTTTTTTAAAAAAGTTTTTTCGGTAGAAATATCTCTGTCCCCAACCCCGCTATACCTACTTTTTATATGGAGATTATATGACTAAAATGTGGTTGAGATTTCTAAACTAAACTATAGAGGATTTTGATACCTGTCCTTCAAATATAATGATGCATTTTGATATCAAGAGCTTCTGATGCAAAGCCATTACATAGTTGCAAAGTATTTTCCTCTCCTCTAAATGTGATCTGTTTTGCAAAATGGAAAATACTGTAAAGGCCACATATCTATAATAATAACATTATAATAGCTGGGTTATTTCAGAGTAAGCGATTTATAAATGCAGCACAGTTACCAGTCATACACTGCCATAACCTTTTTTTAAGAGAGAAAGCAAATATTAAATGCAGATGTTATAAGTGGTATGTGCAATTATGCAATTATGATTCAGCTTTGACCACTGATATCATTGAAGCATTCACCTCTTTACCAATTCCTATAAGCAACAGCATTCATACACAAAACTCACCTCTGCAGTTGTCTTACAAGCTGGTTTAAAGCTTCTTGAAGGGGTGTCTGTTCCACTTCTAGGATAAAAAGGGAAACAAAACGTAAAGAACGCTCTGTATTTCGATGGAAACAAAGTATTAAACAGTGACAATGGGCTATCACAAAGACAATGAGATACATTTAAGAAGTCTGTTTATCCTTCATTATTTTAACAAAGTTTCCCCATCAGTGACCATATCCTGAGTTTCATCTGGATCTTTCTCCAGGGGAATAACATTTACTTAATTTTAGGGGAATTTGCCAATGTGTTTCAGGCAGAAAAAACAACAACACAGAAACATCCTGGAGAAAACAACAAAGTATAGTTGGTGCAATGCTTATTTAGGATTTATCTTGTTACCAGTTTTTGCATAAGTAGTTAAGGCTTAGTACCATTATTTTTTTAATGATTTTTTTTTACTACAAAAACAGAAAAACTGCATAGCACTTAGAAAGAAAAACAGCATTATTTTTTTTACCTTCCTGCTTTGCTAAACTGCTTGCTAGCGATTTCACAAGCGGCACTTCCAATCTTAAAGGAGACTGGCATTTCAGTTCTCTTTCTCCTTCGCTGTCAACAGCGTCTCTGTCTCGCTTCTTTTTATCTTCCTGAAGAAATAAATAAATACATAAAAAATGCTTGTGAAAGATCAAGGCAACCGGTTGCAAAATATTAACTGCAGCTTCTTTATGCAAGGCTTAAGTCAATATTAATCTGTAATATTTGACATAAATCACCGAAGCTGCATTAATTAGGATATTGATGAATGTTAAAAGGATCTCTGCTCACAGAAGTATAGGAAGCCGAGTCGTATCGGGTTAGAGACAATTTGCTCGTGGAAATTATTTCTACTAAGAGACATTTAGGCTGCTTCCTATATAAATGTTTTCAGGTATCTGGAAAATGGAGAGCTTGCAGATACTGAATCCCAAACCAGCAGGTAGCAACAAGGCCAGAGTTGATGGGGGCCTCAGCCTAGCAGTCACAAATTCTCCACAAGCGTCTTCTCTGAAATAAAAGAACTTTCCACAGTACCGTATCTATTTTTTTCTCCAATTTAAATTTAACCAATATTTGGAAAGGAGACTTTCTGGTCTTTTCAAGCTTGTTCTGGGTTATTTTCATGCCCCACTTAATAATCTCAAACACAATCCGGCATAAATATACATTTTTTTAAAAAACATTTTAATAGCACTTAGCATTAGCACTTAGATCAGGGGTCTTCAAACTTGGCTCTTTTATGACTTGTGGATTTCAACTCCCAGAATTCCTCAGCCAGCGTGCCTGGCTGAGGAATTCTGGGAGTTGAAGTCCACAAGTCATAAAAGGGCCAAGTTTGAAGACCCCTGACTTAGATTTATATATTGCTTCACAGTCCTTTACAGCCCTCTAAGCGGTAAGACTATTGTCCCCAAACATCTGGGTCCTCATTTTACCGACACTGGAAAGATAGAAATTCTAAGTCAATCTTGAGCCGGTGAGGATCGAACTGCTGGCAGTGGGCAGAATTAGCCTGCAATACTGCATTCTAATCACTGCCGCCACCACGGCTCTTAAAATAAACCAAGTAACCATTCTAATAATTACCTTTACTTTTCTCTTTCTTTTTTCCTTTTCCTCACCGGGGACTTGTTTTTCCATTTTTTTCCTTTTCTTTCTTTTCTTGTCTTTGTGTTTTTCATGTTCACTTTTGTCGTCATACAGGGACGAATCGTGCACTGAGCTCTGAGTAGATAGTTCTGCGATTTCGTTTCCTCCCACTTTCAAGACAAGTTTTAAGGGTTTCTCCACATATTCTTGAGGAAAACAGATAAAAGGAGAATTCCCATTTTAACTTTCTAAATATTGGCAACGTTAACACTTAACCAATTCAATTGTGAATTGAAAAACGAGGAACATTACAGGTAGTTCTCGACTTAACAACCATTCATTTAGTGATGGTTCGGAGTTACGACCACACTGAGAAAAGTGACTTATGACCCTTTTTCATACCGATACTTACAACTGTTGCAGCATCCCTGTAGTCATGTGATCAAAATTCAGATGCTGGGCAACTGACTCATATTTGTGAAGTGTCCTGGGATCCTGTGATCCCTTTTTGCGACCTTTGTACAAGCAAAGTCAATGGGGAAGCCAGATTCATCTAAGAACCGTGTTGCTAACTTAACAACTGCAGCGATTCACTTAAGAACCGTGGCAAGGAAGGTGGCAAAACACAGCAAACCACACTTAACAAATGTCTTGCTTAACGATGGAAATGTTGGGCTCAGTTGTGGTTGTAAGTCAAAGACTATCTGTAGTCATGATACTTAAAGATGGAACTATTAACAGATGAAGACCTCATAAGACAGATCTCAGATCTGCTTTCAATGTTTCAAATTACTACTGGAAATTAGCAGTAATTCAGCCAGTCATACCAGAATATACATTGATCCACTGAGCTTGACACAGATTTTAATTCTATGATCTGAATGCTCAAGCAGCAGTGCTGAACCATTCGCAATGCCACTAGCCAAAGTTATCATCATTATATACACAGAGGAAAATGTTTGCATGGCTCTAAACCACATTTGCTTAGTGTGATATTCCCTCCTGAGTTCAGAGGTGTGCTCCAAATATTTATGTGCCTCTCTTCCAAAATAACTTGAGAAAAATGAACAATTCAGTACACAAAGCCACAAATAAATTGCTGTCATAAAGAGGCTAGAAATGTTTGGGATTGGCTCCAAAATTCAATTTCACTTCAAAGTTTTCTCTTCCAATGAAGAGAAAAGCTGGGCAGGTTTGTATATAATAAGGATGGGACACAGATCTAAGTTAACAAGGACATGGATAGATATGCATGGAGATACAAAGGCATGAAATTGTGTGGGGTTTGTTTTTTTTTGTGTGTGTGTGTGTGTGTATGGGAACTGCAGTTCCTTCTGACAGGGGTTTCTGGGAACTGCAGTTCCTTCTGATGGGGTTCTGGGAGCTGCAGATCCTTCTGGCAGGGGATTCTGGGAGCTGCAGTTCCTTCTGACAAGGGATTCTGGGAGCTGCAGTTCCTTCTGGCAGGGGATTCTGGGAACTGCAGTCCCCCCCANCCATAATGGTTTCCTTTCCTCCAAATAGATGATCCCAAGAATTAAATGCTGTGAAGCAGTGTTTAATAATAATAATAATAGTAAAGTTGGAAGGGACCTTGAAGGTCATCTAGTCCAACCCCCTGCTCAGGCAGGAAACCCTATACCATTTCGGACAAATGGCTGTCCAGTCTCTTCTTAAAAACTTCCAGTGTTGGAGAATTCACAGCTTCTGGAGGCAGGTTGTTCCACTGGTTAATTGTTCTAATTGTCAGGAAGTTTCTCCTTAGTTCTAGGTTGCTTCTCTCCTTGGTTAGTTTCCATCCGTTGCTTCTTGTCCTGCCTCCAGGCGCTTTGGAGAATAGCTTGACTCCCTCTTCTTTGTGGCAACCCCTGGGATATTGGAAGACTGCTATCATGTCCCCCCTCGTCCTTCTCTTCATTAAACTAGACATACCCAATTCCAGCAGCCGTTCCTTATATTTCTCAGCTTTGATAACTTTAAAATGTGTGGATTTCAACTCCCAGAATTCCCCAGCCAGCCAGCCAGCTGTGCTGTGCTGGCTGGGGAATTCTGGGTGTTGAAGTCTTCGTATCTTAAAATCCCCATGGCGGAGAAACACTGCTGTAAAGCATGTTTTGCAACACAATTCAAACGAATTTACTCAAATGTCCTATTTGTATCAGCGGGACTGACTTTTTGAAAGCGTATTTAGGACTGTAATGTTTCTTGCAGATGAAATCAGCTGCAGTTGTATACCCCAGGAGCAAGGCAGCATTTCAAATAGCATGCCAGCAAGTCGAATACTTCACATTATAAATAATCTGTACTCCAAATAGCAATAAACATTATTATTCTCAAACTTTGTTCTCCCCTCCATCGGTTTACCTGACTGAGTATTTTCATTCCGGAATGTAGGAGCTTTTTCGCAGCCTTGTAATAAATAGTCTCCGGCTTATTATAGACCATAGCATTGGTACACATCAGTCTGAAATTGTCCTGTATAAATAGAAAAATTAAGGCACATGAGGCACACAACTTTGGAAATATTGCCTGGAAAATTCACGTCAAGCTAATAGAAAGAAAGCATTGTTTAGACAAATTAAACAAAGTAAATCTCCTGACAGCACAGTCTTACGACTGTCTATTTACTGACCATTCCAAGTTACAACAGCACTAAAAAAAATGTTTTGTGTTGACTGTTTTTCACACTTATGACCGCTGCAGCATCCCCAGGGTCACGTGATCCAAATTTGGACGCCGGGCAACTGACTCGTATTTACGACGCTTGCAGAGTCCCCAGGGGTCACGTGATCCCTTTTTGCGATCCTTTTATTTTCAACTCCTTCTTACGGCAGGCAAGAAAATGTGTGAAAAGGAAGGATTTATCCAGAGGGTGCTGTACAGCTGCTCCCTCCACGTTGCCTTCAAGCTTGAATGACAGGCCCAACCTTTGGGTGGGATTTAAGACTTTTCTCTTTCGACATCCGCTTGCGAAATGTTGGTGAGCAGCTGATGAGTTTCTGAGATGACAGAGCCGATGTGATGCCAGCAGTGCTTGTGACAGACCTCTGATTTTTACACTTTGGTATTAATGCGCCGATAAAGGCGGCGTTCGTCGCAGACAGTTCTCCCCAGAGATCACAGAGTTGTTTTGTCAGGCTGGGTGCATTAATGCACCACCACAACAGACTTGCATTTCTCTTTAATGTGTACAAATAGAAGGGTGGCGGGGAGACAGGCATTTTAACCAGCCGTGCTCAGAAAGAGGAAAGAGGCAAGTTTAACACACACGCGTTTGCCATTGTTCCAATAAAGCTATTATTTATTCAAAAAAAGCCGTAATGGCAATGCAAAAGGAAAAAATAAGACACTTAGTGCTCGTTATGTGCAACGATTTCCCAATCTTTCTCCTCCTCTTAAGAAAAAGACAAAAGTCAAATATTTTTTTCTCTTCCTATTATTCAGAGTGGATAATTTCTGTTTGAAATTTCAACCGCTTAATCCTTTAGCATATCGCAGAAGAGCGACTGGGGACAGTCAATGAACTTTTGCAGTTATTATGTATTATGTATTACTGATCTATGAATGTGACAAACATACAAAAAAGGTTCTGCTTAAGTCTACATAAAACCTCAGCCATCTTGTTTTACTTTACCCCAAGCTCTAATACAGGGAGTCCTCGGCTTATGATCACCACTGACCCCGAAATTTCTGTTGCTAAGTGAGTCATTTGCTAAGTGGGTTTTGACGCATTGTACGGCCTTTCTTGCCACAGTTCTTAAGTGAATCACTGCAGGTGTTGAGTTAGTAACCACAAGTTAAGTGACTCCAGCTTCCCCATTTGGCTTTGCTTATCAGACGGTCGCAAAAGGGGATCACAGGAATTTTGATCACGTGACCACGGGGATGCTGCAGCCGTTGTAAGTGTGGAAAAAAACAGTCAGTGCCGTTGTAACTTTGAACGATCACCAAACGAACTGCTGTAAGTCGGGGACTACCTTAAAACCAGGTTTCGGCTTTTCAATTTTTCTCCTCCTGCAACCATCCGTCCCAATTCTAACCTCTTGCAAATTGTTCTTTCAAAAGCACTACTGAAGAAATCCACAAAGGCTTTCGCCAAGCAAAGGAAAGGAAAAAAAAAATTCTTAAAACGATTCTTTGCTCATAAACTATGGAAGTTCACTCTCCGAGTGAAAGGCATGTTTTGACAAACTCTGCCCATCATCACCGCTGCGACAGCTGGCAAGTGTTGACATTTAATCCTCTCTCTGCAGCTAGGATATAAATTATAAGCACCTTTAGCTCTTCAATGGATTGGTAACCGTTATTCTTTATCTTCTCTTTCATAGTACTAAAATCCATTGGGCGTTTAATGATCATGGAGTAACCAGGAGCGATGAAGTCCGTCACAGGAAATGAAAAGAAAGCGTTGGGGTCCTTTCTGTTAAGAAATGAAAAGAACAGCGTTTCATGTTTCGTTTCTATAACAAAGAACAGAGGTTACTATTAAAAAAGGAGACATGACTCCATCTTAAAAGAAAGTAGAAAAACTAAGATGAAACTAGAAGCAGATCTGGCCTTATGCCAACTTTTTCTTTCTTTCTTTCTTTCTTTCTTTCTTTCTTTCTTTCTTTCTTTCTTTCTTTCTTTCTTTTTGTTTCTTTCTTTTTAAAAAAAGTTTTTTTCGGTAGAAATATCTCTGTCCCCAACCCCGCTATACCTACTTTTTATACGGAGATTATACGATTAAAATGTGGTTGAGATTTCTAAACTAAACTATAGAGGATTTTGATACCTGTCCTTCAAATATAATGATGCATTTTGATATCAAGAGCTTCTGATGCAAAGCCACTATATAGTTGCAAAGTATTTTCCTCTCCTCTAAATGTGATCTGTTTTGCAAAATGGAAAATACTCTAAAGGCCACATGTCTATAATAATAAGATTATTAATAGCTGGGTTATTTCAGAGTAAGCGATTTATAAATGCAGCACAATTACCAGTCAAACACTGCCATAACCTTTTTTTTTAAAGAGAGAAAGCAAATATTAAATGCAGGTGTTATAAGTGGTATGTGTAATTATGCAATTATGATTCACTGATATCATTGACCACTGATATCATTGAAGCATTCACCTCTTTACCAATTCCTATAAGCAACAGCATTCATACACAAAACTCACCTCTGCAGTTGTCTTACAAGCTGGTTTAAAGCTTCTTGAAGGGGTGTCTGTTCCACTTCTAGGATAAAAAGGGAAACAAAACATAAAAAACTCTCTGTATTTCGATGGAAACAAAGTATTAAACAGTGACAATGGGCTATCACAAAGACAATGAGATACATTTAAGAAGTCTGTTTATCCTTCATTATTTTAACAAAGTTTCCCCATCAGTGACCATATC